GCCGGATGTCGAATTTGGTGCCGAAAATGGTCAGCAGCCGCTCCACGTACTTCTGCACCACCCATCTGCCCACCTGCACCGAGGGTGCTGTGCAGCTCCATGCCAGCTGCAGCATCTCCTCCAGCCGCGTCATGCAGATGATGCCTGGGAAACACGGTCATAGTGGGACCCCTCCTAAACGGGGAGCTTCTGTGTGCTCCCCACTTCCCCCAGCCTTACCCCTGCCTTGGGATTCAGCACCAGGCTTGAGGATCCACACGTTGAGCTTGCCCTCCATGTCAAGCTGGGGCAACTTCTCTGCCAGGCTGTGCAGCAGGTTCTGGCACTCCTTCCGCTGCTGCCTGGTCAGCACCAGCCCTGCCCCCTCACTGTGGGGGGAAGGGGGCCTCAGCAGCAGCCCTGCCGTGGTGCCCCCCGTCCCCCCATCATACTCAGCACTCACTGCGCCACATGGTAGTATTGCTGCAGGAAGTGGTCCCAGTCAATGCATGTCCTGCTGGGGGATGGCGTGTTCCTGTCGATGTCCTCATGGTGCAGAACACCCAGGTGCTGCTTACAGACCTCCAGGGCTTCCTCCACCAGCTCAGGGTACAGGGGGGAGCCTGACCATGCTGTGGAATGCTTGGGGTGAGAGATGTGACTCCTATGGCAGCTTTGGGGCCAGTGCTTCCCTGTGACATGGGGTGGCTTTGGGTGCATGGGGATGAGGCTGGGAGCAGAGCACCGATAAGCTGGGCTAGGAGGAGGGAGGGGGGATCCCAGGCCACAGCCATGGGCAGAGGCTGTGCCTGCAAGCTCAGCCGTCAGTTGTCCCTATCACTGTACTCTCTGCCATCATCCCCAGGCCCAGCTCCATGTACTCACCTTCCCCCCTGGCAGAGTTTGGGACTTGCTCAGTCCTCACTGGCCTGTCCCCAGCCTCCTCCAGGGCCAGTTTGAGCAGGCTGCGTGCTGCTGTCAGGCGGAAATCCTCTGCAAGAGGGAGGCATCATCCCCAGCCAGTCCTGCACAGGACAGTGGAGCAGTGGGAGCACAAGGAGGGACAGGAGGGCAACATCCTTCAGCTCACCAATGAAAGCTTCTCGATCATCTGTGGTCGCCAGCCGGTAGCACCGGGGGAAGAAGGTGTTGGGGTCAGCTTGCTCAATCCATGGCAGGTTTTGTAGGCTGAGGCACAGCCCCTCCTGTTCAGAGGAAGTTGTCAGTCCCTACTGGACCCCATCCCCCTCCCCCAGGGCTCCAGCCTCCCACCTTGGTGGTGAACGCGTCCACCTGGGCATAGTGGTTCAGCATGATGTCCTCCTGCAGCAGCTGGCGGTCAACGGCCTCGAGGAAGTTGGTCCAGACAAAGTTTGGCAGCTGGTCCCGTGCCAGGTAGGACTGGCAGAGGGAGGAAGCCAGGGTGGGACACAGAGCCCCCACCCCACCCTCGTCCCGTGTCCAAGGCTGTGCCCATGCCTGGGGCCGTGGCAGAGCTCAGCCCCAGCCCCCTCTGCTAACCATGAGGTCATGGATGCCATTGGGGTCCTCATCACACTGCTCTTCCTCCTTCTCAGCAGGTAGCCATTGGTAGTGCAGGGGGTCTGGGGTCCCCAGAAAAGGCTGTGCCCCACCACGTGGGTGCAGCAGCACCTCCCTCTGCCTACCACGGCCATCACCTGGCCCTGTCTGCAGCCGCTGCTTGTTCTGGTCCCCGCAGTGCTGCTCCAGCTGCCTGCCCGAGCGGGGCACCTTCCTCTCCACCCAGCCCCGGGCTCGCAGCAGGTGGCGGATGATGGGGTAGGGGCCCTGTACCATGAAGATCTTCTTCTCCTGTGCAGAGACCAGTGGGCTCAGCCTGCCCCAGTCCTGGTTCCTCTGGCTCAACTCTCCTGAGCCAGAAATGCAATAAATGCAAGCAGGTGGCATTGGAGGGGTGTGAAATCAGGTCCCTCACCTTAATGGCCATCTCCACATACAGCTTGGCCTTCTTGAGCTGCTCAAGGTTAAGCAAGCGCTGGCAGCCAACCTGGTGGCTGGTGGTGGTGGCTGCTGAATGCCCTGTGAGGACAGCCCTGTCTGAGCCCACTGTCCCCACATCCCCAGTCCACAGGGCAGGCACGGAGAGGTGGAAAGCACTGACCTGCCTGCCTCTGACCTGACCTTCGGGCCCTGGAAAGGGTAGTCTCCGACCTGCTGAGCCTTGTGCCAGTGTCCCAGCTGCACCGCACAGTCCCGGGATGCCCCACTGTACCCCTGTCCCCAGCCTCCTGGGCTGTGGGGTGGCTGAAGTGTACCCTGCTCAAGTGCTGTCCCTGTCTGTGGGGCTGTGTGCCTGCAGTGCTGCTCTCTGGGTCACACTGTCCCATGGCAGCCTGAGGAGAGCTGTGGGTGGCTCTTCCTCCTCTGTGCCAAGCAGGTCGGCCTATTCCCCTGTCCTGCTGGGGATTTAAGTCGGAGTCCAGCAGAGGACATGGCCTCTAAACCCCAGTACCACTCATGTCAGAATGCAGGATGTGGCTCCCCCAACCCCAGCACCACTGTGATGTCACGGCCCCAGCTCCAGCCATGATGGCTCCACTGCACAGAAGGGAACACAAACAGCCCCTGTGTGCACAGCCAGCCTCCCCCCACCCAAACCTCACACCCTGCCCGAAATCCTTTTGTGCCCCAGAACCCAAGCCCCTTGCCGCCCCCAGGCCGACTTCAAGTCCTTTCATACTCCCCTGACACCCCCCATGGCCCCTCAAACGCCATCAGGGCTGACCCCACTGTTTGCTGCTGCTGCACTGTGCCCCTCCCGTTCCATCCCATGCCCTCCCCCATTCCCTGGTGTGGCCCAGAGCGGCGGGAGGGAGGAGACAGAGGCGGATACAGCAAACAAGACCGTTTAAAAAACAAGACGAGACAGGGGCAGCGGCCGGGGCCGCGCTGCCGCAAGCAGGGGCTGCTCCCGCCCAGCCCAGAGAGGGGCGGGCAGGGCCCGGCCCCGCCCCGCGGTCCTCGAGAAACGGGAGCAGGCACAGGCACGGTGCCCGGCGGGCACAAGCACAGGGGAGCCACGGGGTCCTGCACCACGGCCTAAAACTGGAGAGAAAACACACGGCTGTTAGTCCCTGCTAGCGGCGCCCGAGATCCCTCACCACCCTCCTGGCACCTGGATGGAGGCTGAGCGTGGCCACTGCTCGCAGGGATCCGTGCTCAGCTTCTCCCGCTGCCTCCCCAGGCACGGACATCCATCTCAGCACCCACCAAGAGGGTCTCATCCCCTAGGGCTGCTGCTGCCACTGAGCAAGCTCTGGGGGTCTCAAAAGCTGGCTCTTCATGAGCAAAGGGGATACGAGCACCATTGGCATCCTTTCCTCACTGTCCCCAAGAGGTTCCTCGGGCAGGATGTCACCCTGTCCGCACTAATGGGACAGGGTGGCTCTAGGCACAATGGCCCGGCCACACTGGCTTTGACCCCACTCCCAAAATCAGACACCCTTCCTCCCATTTCTCACGTTCTTCAGGAACTCCTCTGCCACGATGCGGGCCCTCGCGTTGACAGAGAGTTTCATCTCACTGATTTCCTTGTCAATCTCCTCCATGAAGTGGATGACAAAGTCCACCAGCTTGTGCTTGTACATCTGCTCCGTGTGGAAGTTTGTGATCAAGAAGCTGATATCATAACCCTGCACAAGAGAGAAGCACCCTAGGGTTTAGCACCCAAACTGCTGGCCTTGCAAGCTCACATCCCAGTTCTGCACTGGACACCCCCCAGGGCCAGGAGCAGAGCCAGGAGTCGCTTTGTCCCCTCCCTGTCACCTCACCTCCACGGGCTTCCTGCGCAGAATAAAGAAGTTCTCAGCCCTCATCATCATAAAGCGCATGAATTTGTGGCACAGGATCTTCTCGATCTCATCAGCCTGGAGAGAGAAAAGGGAAGTGAGGCTTCCCCACAGGCTGAGCTGCCAGCCCCCTGCCCAAACGCCCCTGACCTGCTTCACGGCGATGCTGACGCGCACGGAGTTAATGGAGCCCTCGATGAGGACCTTCTCCTTCTCGTTCCTGCTGATGATCACCGGCTGCAACAGCAGCTCTTTGCTGCTCCTGCAAACAGAGGGAGGGCAGGAGTGACTCAGAAGGAAGCGTTTACCGTGGGAAGCAGGGAAGGGGAGCCGCAGGGATCACGGGCATGTGGGGGCTTTGCTACAGGATCTCATCTCCCTCCGCGTCCCGAAGATGTTCCTCCTGAGGGCAGACGCTCCCTCGGTCCCAAGCCAGATCCCCTTCCTCCTCCCGCAGCTCCCCGGCTCCCTGCCGGCGCCGGCCGTGCGCCTCAGGGCTGGCGGTGGCCAAGGCACGGCAGGAACGGGCCAGCGGCCCCCAGGGCGGGCAGCCAGGGCTCGGCAGGGCTCCCTGGGTGCTCCCTCCCGCCGCCGTACCTGACTTCCACCTCGGGCTTGTTGTGCCGCTCCACCACCTGCGAGGAGAAGTTCTCCAGGCACAGCGCGGCCTGCAGCGTGGCGCGCACCGCGTTCAGGTACGGGCGCAGCGTGGCAGTCTGCGGGGACACGGCGGCGGCGTCAGACCCCCGACCGGAGCCCGGCAGTCGGGTCTCGCCCCCTTCCCCTGCCCCAGCCCCCGGCCAGAGCCCGCAGCCCCCGCAGCTCCGCTCACTCCGCCGACCCCGGTTCCGAGCCTCCCCAGCCTCCCCGCTGCCACCGCCCCTCACGGGGCGCCCCCCGCCCTACCATGGTGGCAGCGGCGCTCCGGTCCGGCCAGGCGGAAGTGGCTGTTCACCTCTTCCGGGATGCTCGGCACCTCCCACTGCGGCGGGAGGGAGGGGGGGGCGGCGGGAGGCTCCCGCCCTGCGGCCTGGCCCCCCCGCGGCACGGAGCCGGGTGGCGGCGGCGAGACATCGCGCGGCTCCCCCCCGCGCCGTGCCGCGCTTGGTACAGGCCTGTCATCGCTTCCATATTAGGGAAGGGAGATGGAGGGCGGGCTGAGCCAATGAGCGGCGGCGCGGGGCGCGGAGCGGCCAATGGGCGGCGAGGGGCGGGGCCCCCGCGGGGCCGGAAGGGGCGCCCGGCCCAGACCCGGCCCCGCGGCCTCCGCTGCGCCCCGGGGCCGCCCCCGCGTCGTCCCCGCAGCCCCCGGTGATCTCCCTCCGGTTCCCCTCGGTGATCCCCCCCACCGGGCTCCTCGGTGATTCCCCCCCGCCTCGTTCCCTCAGCGCCCTGGTGATTCTCCCCACGTTCCTCTCAGCGCCCCGTGATCCCCTAGCCCGGCTTCTGCAGAGCCCCGATGCCCCCCGACCCTCCGTAGCCCCTCACTCCGCCCCATCCCCTCCCGGCTTCCCCCGTGTTCCCCTCGGTCCCCCAGAGCCCACTCGGTGCCCGCTCCCCACCGCCATGAGCGAGCTGAAGGACTGCCCGCTGCAGTTCCATGACTTCAAGTCGGTGGACCACGTGAAAGTGTGCCCCCGCTACACGGCCGTGCTGGCCCGCTCGGAGGACGATGGCATCGGCATCGAGGAGCTGGACACACTGCAGCTGGAGCTGGAGACGCTGCTGTCCTCTGCCAGCCGCCGCCTTCGCGTCCTGGAGGCTGAAACACAGGTGCTGGGGCCGCGTTGGGTCAGGGACAGGCTCTCCCTCCGGCTCCTTGCACCAAGGGGCTGCCTCTGGTCTGGCACGGGATCTTATGGGACACCGCTCTCTTCCAGATCCTGACGGACTGGCAGGATAAGAAGGGCGACCGGCGGTTCCTGAAGCTCAGCAAGGACCACGATGTGGGCACATCTGTAAAACATGGGAAGCCCAAGAAGCAGAAGCTGGAGGGCAAAGGGGGCCATGGAACTGGGCCCGGGCCTGGCCGGCCCAAGTCTAAGAACCTGCAGCCCAAGATCCAGGAATATGAGTTCCAGGATGATCCCATTGATGTGCCTCGCATCCCCAAAAATGATGCTCCAAACAGGTGTGCGGGTGTTGGGAGGCATGGAGCACATGGCACAAGGGCTGCCTCTAGCCCGAGAGAAGAGGGGCCACGGGGGAAAGGGGACATGTGTCACCTTCCACGTGCTCCCCTGCAGCTCCCTCTCACAGTTCACCCATTCTTGCAGGTTCTGGGCATCGGTGGAGCCGTACTGTGCCGATCTCACCAACGAGGAGGTCAGAGTCCTGGAGGAGCTGCTCAAGCCGCCAGAGGACGAGGCTGAGCATTACAAGGTGAAAAGCTCCTCAGCCCTTTCCTCTGCCCTCTCTCCCCATCCCCTCTGGCACCTCACAGTGACTGTTCCTGCCTGGGATGCTGCCGTGGCAGTGGTGAGGTGGGAGGCAAGGCAGAGGCTCCAGGAGCTGTGCTGAGCTGTGCTCTTCCAGATTCCACCGCTGGGGAAGCATTACTCCCAGCGCTGGGCACAAGAGGACCTGCTGGAGGAGCAGAAGGATGGAGCCCGGGCAGCAGCTGCTGCCGACAAGAAGAAAGGTGTCCTGGGGCCGCTGACTGAGCTGGACACTAAAGGTGCCCCAATCCCACCCCTGCCTTTGCCCAGAGGGGCTGGGAGTGCTTGTGCCCAGTGGAGCCCAGCCCAAGAAGGGCTGAGGTTGCCGTGCCCCACTGCTCATCTCTGTGTCTTTGGGCTTGCTTTTTTTCCTCTTCTGCTTCCTCCCAGATGTCGATGCTCTCCTGAAGAAGTCAGAAGCCCAGCACGAGCAGCCAGAGGATGGGTGTCCCTTTGGTCCCCTGACACAGCGTCTGCTGCAGGCCCTTGTGGAGGTGAGGGGGCACTGTGCCATGGTGGCCTGGCGCTGTAGGGCATTGCTGCCAAAACCCTGCACTGCAACCCTTCCCTATTGGTCCCTTCGCCAGGAGAACATCATCTCCCCTGTTGAGGACTCCCCCATCCCTGAGATCACCGGCAAGGACTCGGGGGCTGACGGTGCTGGCACATCTCCCCGCAGCCAGAACAAGCCCTTCAGGTGAGCAGCTGAGGCGGGCCCAGAGCTCAGCACTGCCCGTGGGTGCACCGAGCACGCTGCTGGCTCCCTGCCGCTGTGAGCCACAGGCAGCAAAGGCCGTGTGGTGGGCAGCAGCCACTCTCCACCCTGGCAGTGTCCCCCACACCAAGTCACTGGAGGGGCGGATCAAGGAGGAGCTGGTGGCCCAGGGCCTGCTGGAGTCAGAGGACCGCCCGGCTGAGGACTCGGAGGACGAGGTGCTGGCGGAGTTACGCAAGAGGCAGGCAGAGCTGAAGGCGCTCAGCGCGCACAACCGCACCAAGAAGCACGAGCTGCTGCGGTGAGAGCGAGCGGGCTGGGATGGGTGCGGGCGGGGGGCTGCCTGGCAGGGCCTGACCCCCCCTGTGCCCCCCAGGCTGGCCAAGGAGGAGCTGCACCGGCAGGAGCTGCGGCAGCGTGTGCGCATGGCTGACAACGAGGTGATGGATGCATTCCGCAAGATCATGGCTGCCCGGCAGAAGAAGCGCACGCCCACCAAGAAGGAGAAGGACCAGGCCTGGAAGACCCTGAAGGAGCGGGAGAGCATCCTCAAGCTGCTGGATGGGTAGCAGGGACCAAGGACCCCCCCAGTCTGTGTGGACATCACCCGCAGGGGGCTGCCTTGCCTGAGCCCTGCCACCACGGGATGGGACTGGCACAGCCTCCCCCATGCCCTGAGTCTGCTCAGCCTCCCTACTCGGACGGAGGAGCCCAGCTGCTGTCCCCTCCCTGCGTAGGGCTGTCACTGACCCAAGCTGGGCACCCCTGGAGTTGCGGAGGTCCCTCCCTTGAACACCCCCACTCCAGCTGGTGGCTTCCACTCCCGTGTTCCCCCTGCACTCCCCTGTTACTCGGGTGACATCAGCCAGGTCACTGCAGGGGCCAGACGTGGCGCCTGTGATGGTGCCATTCCTGCGGTCCCCTGTCCCTCTCTGTGATGCGGGGCAGGGGGAGATCCCAGCCCCGCGGGTGGACTGGGGGGAGTGGGGAGGGGAAGCGGCTGGACGGGTGAGGGGCCTGGTGGGTGGGTGGTCGAGCTCTCCATGTACCGGTGGTTTCTATTGCCGCGAGCACCGGCAATAAAGGCAGCCGTGTGCAGGTGATGGCGTGCAGGTGATGGCGTGCGGGTGACGCTGGGGGACAGCCCTGCCCGGCTATGGGGGTGGGTCCTGCTGGTGCTGGGTTTGGTCTGGGGAGGGGGGCGAGGAGTGGCGGGGCCGGGTCTGTCCTGCAGCTCCACTCGTGTCTACCCAAGGAATGCCCTCGCATCCCCACAGCAGATGCACGGGGTGGGGGCAGTGCGTGAGTGATGCCGCGCCGCGCTTCTCGCCCTCCCCGCGCTTTTCCCGCGTGTCCCCGCGCTTTTCCCGCGGTCGCGCGTGTCCCCCTCCTTCCCACCGCGGCCGAGCCACCCCCTCCCATTGGCAGCGGCCGCGCGCGTGCCCGCCCCTCACCGTGACGTCAGCGCTGTCCGGCGGCGCCGCGCCGGGAGGAGTCGCCGCCGCTCCGCCGCGGGGCCCGGGCCCGGGGCCGTCGGTAAGGGCGGGCCGGGGCGGGGGCGGCGTGCCCACGCGAGGAGGTCGTGCCCGCGCGTGGCACCGAGTAGCGGCGGTGGAGCTGCGCATCGCCCAGCCGCGCCACGCAGCTCTGCTCCCACGCGTGTCCCGTCCGGCGCGGCTGTGCCAGCTGGCGGGCGTGGGGAATGGCGGTGGGGACCCCCCGGGCACCCACGCGTGTGTCTGGAGCGCTCCTGCTGCCTGCCCGCCCTGCACCCGCCCCAGGGGCGGGCATCGGGAGGGTCCCAGCGTGTTTCCCCACTGGGGCAACCTACGCCAAAACTCCTGCGTGGACACAGCTTGTTCCCATCACCCCAGGATGACAGCCTGTAGCACCCCGTCATCCCCGTGTCCCCATGCCGTCCCAGCACGCTGACAGCCTGTCCCCACTCGTGTCACAGGTGGGAGTGGGTGGCCCTACAGGGCACCATGCCGCTGGGGCAGGATGGACCCAGCTGGAAGAAGAGGATCGAGGATATTCAGCGGATCTATGATTTCCGAGATGTCCTGGGCACGTGAGTTGCAGACTGGGGTGACACGCCAGTGACAGCCCACTTGTGGTGATGGGTCTGGCCCCTCAGGCTTTGCCCGACCTTCCATGTGGAACCAGCCAAATCCTGGCCTAAGGCGGGACTTGCATATGAGGGGACATGCTGTGGGGCACATGTGCCACCTCCCTCTGGCATGGCTGGTTCCTGGGCTGTGCTGAGGGTACCTGAGCATGGTTCCCTGGCTGGCACAGGGGTTCCTGGCAGTGCCCATGGCATGGTAAGGCTCTTAGGCTGGATTAGCACGTTAATTATGTCAGGGCTTAGGGCCCAGCACAGCACGAACACACAGCCTGTCCCTCCTGTCTCTTCCCCACCTGGGCACTGCCAACAGCTCTGGCTGGCTCTGGGTGGCCCTGGCTGCCACAGGATGGCACAGCAGAGGGCTACTGCAACCCCCATGGGGGCTCAGCCCCAGCACAGCTCGACCTCGGCAACACCGCAGCCTTGCCCTGCCTGGTATGGGGATGGTGCAGCCACGCTGGGAGGGCGGAGGGTTCCAGGCATCCTGTCGCTGGCAGGGTCCGTGTCCGGCCATCCCAGCCAGCCGCTCCTGCTTGCCTTTCTCCTATAAATAGCTGGACTTTCTGCCTGTCGCCATGACAATCGTGGCATGGCGGCATCGGCAGCTCCGGCTGGCGGCCCCGTGCCCTGCTCATCCCTCTCCCTCCCAGGGGGGCCTTCTCCGAGGTGGTCCTGGCGGAGGAGAAGGCGACGCGGAAGCTCGTGGCTATCAAGTGCATTGCCAAGAAGGCACTGGAGGGAAAGGAGACCAGCATTGAGAACGAGATTGCCGTCCTCCACAAGTAGGGGCCGTCCCAGCACCAGGGTGGGGGTTTCACTCTGCGCCCCCCACCCGGCAGAGCCCCCCATGCCAGCACTCGTTGCCGCACGTTATTGCCAGCGCCCAAAATAGCCAGCGGCGCGTGACGGCCTGCGGCACGGAGCCTGGCTGCTCCCTGTCCCCTGGGGGCTGGCGTGGGGGCAGCCCGGTGCCCTCTCACCACCCCCTGTGCCTCCCCCTGCAGGATCAAGCACCCCAATATCGTGGCCTTGGATGATATCTACGAGAGTGGCACCCACCTCTACCTCATCATGCAGCTGTGAGTGACGCTGGGGGGCTCCAGAGGGGCGGGGGGGCCGTGCTGACGGGTGCTGCCCGTCCCTGCAGGGTCTCGGGGGGGGAACTCTTTGACCGCATTGTGGAGAAGGGCTTCTACACTGAGCGGGACGCCAGCGCCCTGATCCGGCAGATCCTCGACGCCGTCAAATATCTGCATGACATGGGTATCGTCCACCGTGACCTGAAGGTGAGCAGTTCAGGGGGACACACACAGCACTGTCATGGCACCAGGCAGCAGGGGACCCCCGTGTCACCCCTCCCTTTACCCACCTCTCCTCGCAGCCCGAGAACCTGCTCTATTACAGCATGGATGAGGACTCCAAGATCATGATCAGCGACTTCGGGCTGTCGAAGATCGAGGGCTGTGGCAGTGTCATGTCCACAGCCTGTGGCACCCCTGGCTATGTGGGTGAGTGCCTACCACCCCTAGGTGTGGGGTCGGGATCCCCCCACAGGCTCGGGTCCCCCCTCACCGCTGCCATCCCCCCCAGCCCCTGAGGTGCTAGCACAGAAGCCCTACAGCAAGGCAGTGGATTGCTGGTCCATCGGAGTCATCGCCTACATCCTGTATGTATCCACCCTCCCACTCCCTTCCCCTCCTGGGGGCCTGGCACCTTGGAGCTGCCTGGGACCAGCAACCCTCTCCTCACTGCCCCGCTAGGCTCTGTGGTTACCCTCCTTTCTATGATGAGAATGATGCCAAGCTCTTTGAGCAGATCCTGCAGGCCGAGTATGAGTTCGACTCACCCTACTGGGATGATATCTCGGACTCAGGTGAGCTGGGACCACGAGGGCAGTGGGGCCTGTGAGCCTGGTGTAGCTTCACAGTACCCAGAGGAGCTCAGAGCTGCTCCATGCTCTGTTCCAGCCAAGGACTTTATCCAGCACCTGATGGAGAAGGACCCTGGCAAGCGATTCACCTGTGAGCAAGCCCTGCAGCATCCCTGGTAATGGGGACACCTATTGGTGTCTGCCCCCCTCTCCAGCTCACCCCACAGCAGCTATGGGATAGGGGTGCCTTGGCTGACTTCTGTCTTGCTCCAGGATTGCTGGGGACACTGCCCTGGACAAGAACATCCACCAGTCAGTGAGTGAGCAGATCAAGAAGAATTTTGCAAAGAGCAAATGGAAGGTGAGTGTGGGGTGCTGGTGGGTGTTAGGGGGTGCAGCAGCCCCTCAGGCACCCCCTACCAGCTGACAGACACTGTGGGGTCAGTAGCAAGCTTTCAACGCCACGGCGGTGGTGAGACACATGAGAAAGCTGCAGCTGGGAACCAGCCAGGACATCCCTGGGCAGACAACTCCCACGAGCCCCGGTGAACGGTTGGTCGGCGGGACCAGCAATGGTGAGCCCCAAAACCCCTATCCCCCTCCCAGACCCCTCAGGGCTGCCACCAGGATCTCACACTGATCCTCCCTGCAGGGTCGGAGTGTGGGCGCCCACCCACAAGCAGAGCTCAGCGTCTCCCACCAGACTGAGCACAGCCCCACACAGCTGCCTCCAAGGGGGCCCAGCCATGTGGGGTGGGGGGGCTCTGCAGTGCAGGAGCAGGGGATAGTGTGGAGGCACCCTGCTTGGCTTGTCCTGGTTATGTGGAGCTGCCCCCTCTGCAGCCTCACAGCAGAGTTCTGCATTGGGGCAGGAGCACACCACAGAGCCCCCCAGCTTGGGGCTTTGTCCCAGGCCCCTTCCCACACCCCTTCCCTCCACGCCTGGCCTGGCACTGTCCCACACCCCCAAGCCCAGCATGTTCAAGGACAATTTTCCAAATGGATGTTTCTATTTTATTGCTTGTAATAAAGGCAAGAGGCCAAAGGTGCTTGGCTCAGCTCTGCACTGAGGGAGTTGGACACAGCCCTGACCTCCCCAGCTTCACGGCCCAGGGCAGCAGCTTCCCCCGTGCACACAGTGGGCAGGCAGCAGCCCACACTCCTCCGTCCCAGGCTGGCAGCAGGTGCAGTGTCCCACTCAAGCCTCTGTTCCTCCTGGGGTGTCCCTAGAGGAGCCCACCCCCAAAGCTGTCCCAGCCTCAGCTCTCTCAGGCCTGATGCTGGCTGCTGGCTGGCTTCTGGCCCTTGCGGAGGTCAGCACAGAACAGGACCTGGAGTGGGGAGATAATGCGGTGGGCATGGCTTGGGTTGGGGGGCAAGAGTGCCAGGAAGGGGGGATACTCACTGCCTGTGCCCAGCCAGCACGAGGGCCCCACAGCCCCCGGAAGAAGTCGCCTGCAGAAAGAGGGTGAACACCAGTGTGGGGGTACGCTTGCACCATCCACCATCCCTGAGGGTCCCACATCAGGATGCAGCCCTGCCCTCACCGATCTCCTGGTAGGCCCGGGGGGTGAGGCTCTTGCCGCCCAGCGCCACGCCATAGCGCTGCCGTGCGATGTGCCAGACGTGGGTGTCCACAGGCACCGCCTCCGCCTTGTCCAGGGACAACAGGCAGACACAGTCGGCCACCTGCCACCAGCAGCACCCAGTCAGCCCCCAATGCTGGTCTCTGCTCCCTGTCCCACCCCCGTCCTGGCACCCACCTTGGCACCTACGCCAGGCAGGGCGCACAGCACCCTCCTGGCCTCGGCATAGGGCGCGGTGCGGAGCTGGCACAGCCCCTCGGGGCCGAGCCCCTCAGCGATGGCCCGTGCGCTCCCACTGACAAACTTGGCCCGGTACCCAAAGCCCAGCGCCCGCAGCCGGGCCTCGGCATCAGCACCTGGGGGGCACAGCAGAGGAACTGGGCACAGGCGCGGCCATGGCAAGATGACAGCGGCAGCAGCGAAGTGTTGGTGGACCTGTGAGCGCCGAGAGGGATGGGAAGGCATGGAAGGGCCGGGAATCGAGGCAGCAGAGGCGGCGGCCGAAGGCCTGGCAGAGGCGCTCGATCATGGCAGTGATGCGGGAAATGTGGTTGTTGGAGGTGCAGATGAAGGAGAAGAGGCACTCGACGGGGTCCTGCCGCAGCACCCGCACCCCTGCAGGCAGGACGCTGTGAGGGGATGCCGAGCAGGTGCTATGGCCATCCCTTGTAGCTCCGTGGGGCCGCCTCACCTGGGAAGTCATTGGCCACCTTGCGGAACAGGGGGTCGGCCGCCCCCCAGGCATGGTACAGGGCCGACAGCCCCACGTCCAGCTGGAAGTAGTCACGCAGGATCCGCTCCGTCTCTGCCGCGTTCAGCTTCGCTGCTTTGGCCGGGCACTCATCCCCCTCTTCCCCCTCCTCGTGCTCCTCCTCCTCGCCGTACACCGTGTACCAGAGCCGATCCCCGTCCTGCCGTAGTGTCCAGACGCGGCCCCCTAGCACACCCGTCCACGCCCCCGGGCTGCTCTCCCACCACCTGCCGCACACGGGGGGGTCGGGGCCGGCTCGGACGCGCCCAGCTGGGCCGGGGGACACCCGAGACCCCCGGCTGGCTCACCGGAAGCTCTGTCCCGAGGAGAGCACCAGGTCCAGGCGCAGCTCGGCCGGCGGGCACGGCAACCAGCGCCACAGGGACGGGCAGACGGAAGGGGCGTCCCGCAGCTTCATGGGGGCCGGGGAGCACCCGCGCACCGCTGCCCGCGGGGGGTCAGGGCACCGCCCGGCGCTGCCCCACAGCCCCGGCCCGGCCCCACACCTCCCCAGAGCTCCCCAGCCCGTGCCCCCGGCCCCGCAGCTCCGGGCCCGGCCCCGCCACTCCCCACCATAGAGAAACCCGCGCCCGCCGCTCCCCGCCCGGCTTCCGCTCGCAGCCGGAAGCGGGGCCGCTGCCGCCGCACATGCCCGCCCCGCAGCGGCCGCGGCTCCGCAGTGGAGGTTTATTTTCTAAGAATCAATAGATTTTTTTTCTTCCTTCAAAATAAATACAAACAACGTCCGAGCGCGGGGCCGGCCAGGGGCTGGGCCCAGGGGTGGGGGCAGCACGGGGGTGCGGGGCGCGGGGAGCCGCCCTGGGGCACGGCGGCGGCCAGAACAGCATCCCGGGGAGCGCTGGGCTGGGGGAGCGGGCACCGGGAACGGGAGAGTGAGGGGGGCACGGGGGACCGGCCCCACCCCTCCCGGTGCCCCGGCCCCCCGTGGGTGCAGGCCAGCTGCACGGGGTGGGGGTCACCGAGCCCCGTTTGCCCTGAGATTCGGCGGGGGAGCGGCCGGCGGCACCGGCTCAGTCGCTCTCGCTGGAGTCGCTGCTCTGCTCGCCCTGCACCTTGTTGCGGTGCTGCATGGCGCGGTGGTAGGCGATCTGCACCGACTTGCGGATGTTGGACTTGCGGCCCTCCAGCATCTTCTCTTTGTCCAGGTCCTGGTTCACCCCCAGAGGCACCAGCTTCGTCCGGGGCAACCACTGCCTGTGGAGAGCGGGGGGCCACCTCGTTTGAGGGTTACAATCGTCTCTGGGGACCCCCCCACCAAAGCCCTCGGCGCCCAGGCCTTACCAAGTGCGCTTGTTGTCGAAGAAGAGGACAAGGTAGAGGTGCTCGCGTGCTTCCTGAGTCATCTGCTCCCCCAGCTTCAGCACCTCCAAGGGGGGCACGGGAATGGGAACCCCATGGTGGAACATGCCTTCCCGCGGCATCTTGGGGTCAATGATCTGCAAAACGAGCAGGGGAGGGCTGAGAGCAGAACAGGGACCCCAAGAGCCAGTCTGCAGGGAGGGGACATGGATTTCAGAGGCCCCGATAACAGGCAGTACTCACCAACGCCGGGTAGGAGGGGTAACCGCGGCACTTAGCCCACACCAGGTCCAGGGCATCCAGGGAAGAATCCTCATCCTCAGACAGCCACCCTGCGCCACGCCCCATGCCCTTACGCACCACTGCACAGGAGGAGAGGGCAGTCAGCTGTGTCCCCCTGGGTGATGGTGCCAGCCAGGCACACAGCTGTGCAGCCACAGTACTTACTGCCGTGCCCCACACCTCGTCCCGTGCCCACGGAGTAGGACTCGTTCTCTGTCCCTGATGTGTCCTCACTGCTGTCCTCTGGGAAGTTCACTCGGGAGAAGGAGGGTTTCCCTCTGCCCTGCTTGGAGGGTGTTGTGCTGTGGAGACAGGGAGCAGAGCTATCAGTAGTGAGTCACGTTAAGCTTCCACAAACTGTCTTCCAGAGGGCCAGGCTGGTGGGACACCAGGGCTTGTGGCCTCCAACTGCCGGCCTTGGCACCAGGAAGGACTTGGCAGGGGTACCAGGCAGAAAGGTGGGATGGTGCTTCTGCCAGGGTGCAAGCCAGACCCTCACCCAGTTCCACCTGGGAGGACCAGAAGATGTGCCCTCATCCGAATTAGAGGCGCAGGCAGGAAGCTGCTGGCACTAGCTGCTGGAAGGGCCAATGGCAGAGCAGCTGCTGTGCCAACAGGGAATTCATGTTTCCTAGTTCATGCTCCCTACTGGCCCTTTGCCACACACTCACACCTTTTAAGTTTTACATTAAAAAAGGCACAAATCCCACAGACTTCTAGGGATTAGCAGCTGTGCTACAGGATGAACGAGACGGAGACCACCAAACAGGGTGCTTGTCCAGAAACTCAAGGCTGAGAGCTGCCCACTGCCACCCTGGGCAGCACGGCTGTCAGCAGAGCTGGGCAGGGGCAGTACCTGGTGCGGTCTGAGGCAGCGCTGCTGCTGCTGCTGCTGCTGGACTCCGAGTCGGAGCTGCTCCGGGGCAGATTGCAGTCGTTGCGGTACACCAGGAAGCTCTTCTTCACGGGCTGGTTCCCACTGCTGAAACCGTTGGCTGGCAGGTCTGAAAAACACCCCAACAAAGAGCATTACCACTGCACCAGAGCCTGCCACGTGCTGCCAGTGGGAACGCAGCTGCCCAGCTGCACTCACCCATGGTAGCGTCCTCCGTGGATTTGTCACTGTCACTGTCTGAGCTGGAGCTGGGGCGCGGGCTTCGCCCTCGCTTCCTCTGCCGCTGGGAGGACCCCATTATTGGGAGCTGGGGGGGCCCAATAGGGCTGCTCCCATGCCCAGGAGGGATCTGGCTGTCTCGATTCTTTGGGGGGCGTCCTGGACGTTTTGGAGGGCCTGCAGTTTTAGGGTTCTTCTTGGAGAAGAGCACAGAGGTCCTCCTGCCAACTTCATGTGCTGGGGTAGATGAAGAATTGGGACCCAGACCTGGAAGAGAGAGGTGTCAGCTGCAGCCCTGATGGCAGGGACTGCATGGCAGTGGTATCACAAAACAGCTTTGTTTCTGGGGAACATTATCTCAGAAGATCCTCCCTCACTGTAGGAAGAGCCTGCTTTTCCCAGTGATTAGGGGACAGGACTGAGATGCAGACGTGGCAAATGCTCAGTGACACATGGTAGCTCTGCCTGGTGCTTTTGCTGTGCTCCCCATAGAGCCCAGCTCAGCCTCTCCATCCAGGGAGCTGGCAGCTGGCCTGTTCGACTCAGCCCTGGGAGAGCATTTGGAGATCAGCAGTCACTGCTGCTGCAACTCCCTCCCATGCCCTCCAGCAGGAAGGGACACCGAAGGCAGCCTGCTCCATAATGCCCCTAGAAACCAGGCAACATGGCCAAGCTGGTAGGTCCTATCAGAAGGAAACAATCCACCTCATGCTCCACATCACACAGCTGGAACTGTCAGTCTCTGGAACAGCATCCAGCTCCTCGACTGACAAAGAGATGAATTCACCAGGTGACTGCTGGCGCAGCTGTGAACACCAGCAACCTGCCAACCCTCCCCAAGGGCAAATACACACCAGGCTGTGGCTGTTTCACACATAGGACGTGGCCCCCTTCATCCAATCCCCCCTGCTTGGCTGGCACAGCTCACTACAAACTATCCAGTGAGCATGCTGGGAGGGAGCCTGGGGAGGCACACACATCATACTTGGCACCAGCCCCTAAGGGAGGGACTACAGGAAACAAGGAGTCCCCACAGGGGAATGTGGGATAAGGGACTGTCCCACAAGAGGCCACCTGCCTCGTTCCCACGGAGGAATGAAGAGCAAGGTGTGTGTGGGGAGCTGTCCACACAGTCCTCCTGCCTAAGGAGGCACCTGCCAGGGCAGTCTCTCTCCAGACAGGCCTGTCCAGAGGCAGCTCTCCATGGCTCCTCAGACTGGCAGTTCTGGAGGGAGTATTACCTTTGCCAGTCTCCTGGCTGCTGCTCTCCTCTGCAGCACTGTCTGTCTGCAGGTCCTTCTCACAGGGGTTGTGGGACTGCAGGACTCCCCTGGCAGAGGAGCTGTGCCGCTCCAGCCCCTCCCGGCCCAGGTCCCGCGGGTGAGCGAGCTTCCGCCGTAGGACTGTGATCTCCTTCTTGATCATCTTGGCCCGGCGGGACCGTCCTATGCTCTGCTTGCCAGCGTTGACCTCGTCCAGCCGCTCCAGCAGGATCTTTAGCTGCTCCTCCAACGGCAGGTGCTTCTGATTCTCTGAGAGCAGCAGCCGCACATCTTCTGGGGAAACAAAGAGGAGCAGATGGATGGAAGAAATCAGGAACTCAGTGGAGCATCTCTACCTGAAAGGGCATGAGGCAATCCAGGTTCCCTGAAGGGGAGAAGGAGCTGGCATGGCACCAAACACCTGTGGACCCTTTAGGGAAGTTATCCTAAAAGACCAATAGAAGGAGCCCTTTGGGAACTCAGGCAGTTGGGACTACTGGGGAAAGCAGGCTGATCAGCAGTTTGGAGAATACTGGGGTTCGCATTGTTTGGAACAGGAAAGAAAGGACACACAGACAAACCACTGCCTACAACCAACCTAATGGAGCTGCTAAGTACCTGGCTACCAAAAGCACCAGGTCTCCAGGGAGTGGGGACACACAGCCCAGCATTCAACTTAACCTCCCAGAGGAGGCAGCTCAGACTCTTGAGTGCCTTGACTCTGCCCAGGCTTTACCTTTTAGTAGCCCTCATACCCCAGGACAGGGACTGAGTACCCACCGTCCTCAATGTCTTGGATCTGAGCCTCTTCCACTGTTACACAGTGGGGGAAGTGCATGCCTGTCTCGAAGTCAATGCCCATCTTCTCTGCCTGCCGGCGAGCCTGCCGGAGCACAGCACCTCCCTGCTCCCGCAGACGGATGGCTGCCCGGTAGAAGATCGTGTCTTTGGCATTGTATTTCAAACAGTTGTTAATAATCAGGTTGAAATCCTCCTCAAAGTCATCGAAATTCAGATAGCGATAGGCTTCTAGATTTTGCTTCATTGTCTGAAAATCCATTGGCTTCTTGATGTGATCCAGGTAGTCTGGGACCTGCATAAGGAAAGAGCCAGAGTTAAAAGCCCAGGAGCCACAGTTAGCAGCACCTGCTCCAAGAAAACAGTTGTTAGAGGAATCAGGTATCACTCCCTGTGCTCTGCCCAAATGCACATCGGGGAATGCCGTCTGCTTTTGCAGCTTGAGGAACAGCAACGCCTCCGGACTAGGAAGCCCATGTGCTGTGCTCAACCTGTTAGAGCGGATATGCGCTCCGAAGCATTTTTACAGCTCCAGCACACATGCCAGCATCCTGTCCTCAACTCCTGCCTGCAGGCAGCTGGGATTCAGTATGCTACATGTTATTCCCTGGAGAGAGTGCTGCAAGTGCAGCCCCAGGGGTGAAGGTGAGTGCAGAAAGGTAAAACATAGCCGTCCAGGTGGCAGGTGAGAGGGTGCAGCCTTCCTCCCCATCTGCTAAGATGCCTCCATGCTGACCTGCTGCCAGAACCTTGCAGAGACCATGTGGACTTTTGCCATGCTCCCAGGCGGGGACTCAGTGACAGTCTCAGGAATTGTCTCCCCTGCCTGCAGCAATGGCAGTC